TTTGTAAGAGTATGTTCTGGCACCCGATAGCTTATGTCCTGTCTCTGATTTCTATAGCTTTTCTGATTACGGAAAGGAACACTTTCTTTTAATATTTTATTCTATTCCAGAGATCCTGAAGAGGAGAGGACATTCATTCCTAGGGCTTTAGAATATTTCTAGTGCTAGTGAATACTTGATTCTCTGAAAAGTTGTTCTTAAATGAAAAGCATAAAATATAACTTGCTGATTTGGGGGTTGGGGTCAGGAACAGCTCAAGTCCTGGAAAAAGAAGAGGCCCTGACTGACACTGTCGGCACATTAACAACTTCTCAGCTGTACCGGCCTCCCTATGTATTTTTGTCTGCCTTGTGAATTAGGAGTTCCTTGGGGTAGGAAAACTGTGTCCATCCATCTGTTTCTGTAAGTATTCTCGTTAGTATTTTAACACTCAACCACTCAGATGCTGCCTGATCCCTCTCTCTACCCATTTGGAGTGTAGCTGAGGGGCTTGGATGGGAACACATGCTGTTCTCAAGGTGGTGCAGCAGCTGCGCTCCATCCGCTGCCTCCCAGAGCTCCTCCTAAGTAGTATTTACTCTGAACCCAGCGCAGACTTAATTTTTAGGGCACAGCTGTTGCTGTCGTGCTATATATTCCCCCGGTTTATAGATCTGCTCACAACAGAGTGCAGTAAGAATTCTCTGCAGCGCATTGAAAGCAACATGTGATACTTCCAGGCTGCCTGCTTACTTTAAGCTGGGGATATTGGAAGTCAGGTGTCTGCCGTGTAGGAAATTTGTGAGGGCTGAAAGTTTACATCTCTGAAGCAGCAAGTGTTCCTCTGCTTTCTGAGAGGTAAAAGATGCTTGGCTGCTCAAGATGAGGTCTGTGCTGGGGCTTGAGGCCCTAAAGAAATACTGTAAAAATTAAACCTGTCAGTGGTACCCTGGATTGGATGTTGGAAATCAATTGACAGAAATACCTGTAACCTTGAATCTCTCGTGAACGTATCACTGTAGCCTTAAATAAAGTCATTTGCTACACCTAGTGTCTGGAAGCTGTGTTGTAATCCAGCACATCTGAGTTAAGACTATTACGAAGGTTTTCTGAAATAGTTCTGTCTAGATCTTGTCCAGAGATGTTTTAAGAAAAAAACCCTCAGTGATCAAATTGGGAAATGCATATTTGGCTTAGAGAGTACTAGGAGAGTACTTTTGTTAGTAGAAGAGGCTGAGATAAGAGCAAACTAGAATTTTACTATGTAGAGAGATCTGGATTTGCAGTCTAATTCCAAGGGTTAATTAACATTCACCCTTCATTGAAAACATATTTTTAAAAAACCTTTTTCAATAGAAAATATTCCCTAAAGATTTTACAAAGACACAGTGAGATCTTCTCTGTTTGTGATTATCTTTAATAAATTTTTAGTAGATCAGAGATGAATTTTCAAAGGAAAATACCAACAGATAAACACTTTGCATTCCATTCCTTTCTGCTGGATCTCGGAAAATGGGAACAAGATAATCTTGAATGTGCCCTGACACATGGGATCTGGCTGCCCTATATCTCCATCTGTACACTGGTATTTTGTCCCCAACAATTAGTGACTGTTCTCAGTGTTTGCTGTAAATGCATGCTGTGGGTTCGCTTGGAAGGATCACAAAGAAGCCTGTTATCTTCTAACTAAAATAGGTATAATTTTGTACTTTGAATATTTTATACAGATTATACATCAAGACTTCAATAATGCCTTCCTACATAAAGCTCTACAGAAACAAATAATCTACATAGCATGCTCTTAGCCAGTGGGAAGCCTCGGTGAAGAAGTCTTTCCAGATACTAGTTATGGGTCTGAATTACAGATATAATAAACTACATCCCTCTTTTATACTTGTGAGTCTTGTTGTCTGTGAAGGTAGGATAAGCTGAATTGCAGAGGCAGAGTGACATCACTGGAGTGCTGGCCCCTGACACGGGGTTTGGGAAGGGAGACGTGTATGAAGGATTCCAGCCCAGAATTTGTTACCGTTATACTTAGCTGAAGAACTGACTATAAATCCTTTTCATTTTCTTTTCAAACAGAGGAAGACTGGCTGGTAGGCCATGATTTCCTCATCCTTCACCGTGTGATTTTCCTGTAGTTCTTTGCTTCAGAAAGAGTGTTCCAATGACTATAGTTAGAAATCCATATAAATCATAAATTCAGAGTTACACAGGACCCTGTTTGATAGATTCTTCTGATGAATATTCATTTCATTTAGGTAGTGTTTTCTAAAAATGTTAGGCAGAAAATATCCCACTAGAGTAAATGAAATCATGTCACTACTTACAACCATCCCTTCCCTCTAAGTATGACTCTAATTCTAGGACAGTTGTAGTTACCTGCTGTATCTTTATTTTAAGATAAAACATTTAAATTTAGGGATGTAAAAAGCAGAAATCGGAGAAACTGAGAGGGAAGTCAGTATGTTACAGCTATCTAAACTAGTCCCAGGTCTAGATTTCTTCATCCTGTCTGTGGAAGCTCTGCTTCTCTGGCCTTATTTTGTTTGAAGCATCACTGGGCAGTGGAAGAAGAGATGTAGGTGTTAAACCCGAACTCCCAAATTAGAGCAGACATTTGGCTTCCAGGGTTGATGTTCAAAAACTAGTCTTTGTTTTTGATGAACAAAAGGGGGAGTTCCCAGCGTTTGGAACCGCCTGTCTGGAGCCTGGAAGTGTCAGCATCACACAGTGTTTTGTGGCAAGAACTTGTGTGGCTCATGAGGAGGTACAATGTGGTATCTTAGAAAAGTGATATGTGAAGACTGTTTATTTAAAAGCTCTTTATCAAGAAGGTTCAAGCCTTGGTGTCTACGTGACTAGCGAACAGTTTGTTAATAGAGAAAAGGGATAAATTTAGAAGGACAGAAGTGTGCTTCTTGGTAAAGTCAAGTCTTAACTGACTGATTTATCTGAGTTTGGCTTTTGTTCACATTTTGCCTTTTCCTGACTTCTTACTTTATTGTAGATTCTGTTTTTTGACATATCTGGGGGACTGTGCAGTGTGTGGTCTTTCAGTAACTGTGCAAGTCCATGTGGGTATGCAGATAACCCATGTTCTGTATAGACTTCTGGATTCCGTGTGCTTTGCATAATGCGAGTCAATGAAATGCATAGGAGCTAAGTTTGTATAATAGCTTATAATAAGAATCTTTTGTTTCTACTAATTTCTTTCTATGAGGGTGCATTAGAATGCAGGACAAAACTCCATTGAAACTACGACCTCTCATTTCCTTAACACCAGAAAAATACATCAGAGGATGGCTCTGCCATTATCGGTCAGCTCCACTGTGCATGAGTGCATTGTATCCGTGGCTGTCCTTCTCTCAGGGAACATCTCACTGCTTTTATCTCTAATGAAAAGGTGTAGAAAGCCATCTCTTCCAGTCAGATCAGTCCTGGGATGTTATTTACAGTGCCTAGTTGCAAAGTAATCTCTCTATTTAAGCAGAATGTCTGAGTATCCAGGGTGCAGTCTTCTAGCACCCTGATACTAGAGCTCGTGTTCGAGTAAATTCATGACTCTCATTGCCGGACTACACTGTCAATTAGACTGCCAGCCTCAATACTGACTGGAAAAGGTTTTTTTCCTTTTTTCTTCTTTGCCTTTGCCAGTGGAAGAGCACAAACAAGCAGTCTGGGGAATTGTTTTGGAAGGACTGCTTTGGTTTGAGTATGTGCATATTTTTAAGTGTTTTGAGGTCGTATTGTGGAAGGCAGGTTAAGGAGTTTCACTTCACACTTGATGAGGAGAAGTGTTTGGATTTGTGCTGGGTTTTGGTTTCCTTAGGAATTTAAGTTTCAACCTGACTGAACAGAGGAAACCTGGCTCATAATCAGACACATCTTTCTTTTATGTTCACTGTGCTGAAGGAACAAAGTTTTTGACTGCAGCCTTTGTTGCAGTATTTTAATTACCTTCGTCTTTTCTCAGAAGTGAGGGATGTAAGGAAGGGAGTACCTAAAAGTAAAGAGCAAAGACGTATTGCTTGTGTCTGTACCCTTGAAGTACTGAGTGCTGAAAGCAGAGGACAACTCTGGTGCGCTCACTAAAATTTGTCTGGCTGATGGTATGTGAAGGCTCTTCTGATTTAGTTGGAGTTCCCTAACGGCGTCAGGTTTCATAGTAGCTGTTCTGTATCAATGACATACAGATGCAAGCTGAGAGGGCTGTGTAAAATTGGGGTCAGGATACTGTCCATTTGGAGAAGATGCAGTTCACAAGGCGTCTGGAGCTAACACAATGTGATGCCATAACAAATGATCGGAGTTTCTGAACTGTTCCCTCAGTAGTTGAGTTTCTGGTTGAAGCATTGTGTCTTCTGTTTCTAAAAGTGCTGGCCTGTCTTTGGATTGTCAGGTACAACAGGTTGATGAGGTCATCTCGGGTATGTAGTAATCAGTCTTGGTAATGGAGCTATAGCTGTATGTGGGTAAGGTTAAGCAGAATGATTTCCTATAAAGCTTGCTATAAAAGAAGCAAAGCATATCCAAGGCCTCTCACACACATTAATTTTCTGTCCATTCAATATAACAAATTAATTTGGGAAAAATGGCTTTTAGGAGGAAAACTACAATAAAATCATGCACTGTATAGTGGTTCATTAGTTTTCCACTTCTGAGTAATGTCTCTATGTACTACTCCAATATAAATAGGGATAATTATCCCCTTGAGGAGGAGATAATATGTGGTAAGGGAACCACTACATTGGGCTTAACCTCTCAAAATAGAAGTAATGACAAGTAGATATCCTGGACCTTTGCAGAAATGTGAATTAACTTTTCACTTGTTTAATTTCCATAAATTTTGTTGTTTCACCCATACAATAATAGATACAGCTGGTGTTGTACCTATTATTGTATTCATTGCTCTATGTATTCCTCACTATATTTCTGGGTGAGTTCTTTATAAGTGCTTTTTGTACAGAATGACTTACCCTGATATGGCTTTTTTTTTTTTTTCTTTTCCCACACAGATCACCCCGGGCAGCAAGGCAGCACAGTCACAGATGAACCAAGGGGACCTTGTGGTAGCCATTGATGGTGTCAACACTGACAGCATGACCCATTTAGAGGCCCAGAACAAGATCAAGTCAGCCAGCCACAACTTGAGCCTCACTCTTCAGAAGTATGTTGATATGTTAAAGGCTTTGCATTCCAAACTGCATCCTATAAAACCTGTGACTAAGGAATGTTAGTGATATTATGAATATATGTATGCTGTCTTTAAGAAGATTTATGTGGTTCTAGATTATTTTGTATTTGAAAGTTAAGGAAAATCCTTTCTGATAATTTATTTTAGAAAGTCTGTCTGCTTTTCTATTAGATCCTTCTCTTTGTACATTGAGAGAAATTTTTTCTTACTGTGCTTGGGCTTGTTGTGCTTTTGGAGTTGTTTCTGAATATTGGGCCTGAAGAGTGGTCCAGTGGCTGCCTCCATGGCCCAGGATTTAAGACTACCAACCATCACCTATGTTTCCACACAGAGGAAGGGTTCCCAAATCTGTGACTAACAAAACCAGATTGTCCTAATACATATCACAGATGCAAGTCAATTAAAACAATAACTTTGATCAAGTGTTGGCAGGGATATTTCATGTGAGTAATTGTTGCGCTTTTGTTCTTGCCGACCTCTAGATTACAACACCAGCAGCTCTAGTGTCCACGTTAAAAAAAAAAACAAAACTGTTTTACAGCATCCAGGACATCTTGCTTATTGTTTAATGATTGAAGTAATTATTAATTTTTCTTAAAGTATTTTCAGACTGCTAAAGATTTATTTATTGTGGTAGACATTATTCTTTGTCCACATAACTCTAGTGGAAGTATCATTTTTTGATTTCTTGCTCTGTTGTTTCTTTTATTTTTTTTTTAAGGCTTGCCTTGTCTCTTGGTTTCAAAATAATAGTATGTGATACAGGTAATCAACTTAATGTGGATAATGAACTGCCAAATGACTGTAATGCTGTGTTCAACTCTGGGGCCCCCAACATAGGGGCATGCAGCAGTGAAACTGAAGTGTTCCATTGCTATGGAAAAACAAAGCTAGTTTCCATAAAGAACATAGAGATGGGCACACTCACTTATCTAATTTGCATAAAAGTGTGGAAACACTGGAAATCCTTTCAAATGGAGAAGGCGTCTATGTACGTTAGGAAATTGACTGTTGTGGTGGGAAAACGTAAGCTCTAAATTTTGATGGGTTTGGACATTTATGGGAAGCAATCACGTGGCTCTACAGAATATGTTTCAAGGTCATGGAAAGCCTTACCAGGCAATCTGTGCCTTAGTTTTGCTGTTGAAGCACTGGAAGTAGAAGTGAACTTGCTTGTGTAGTCTATAAGGTCATGGAAGGAAGCAGTGAAGAACATAAAATCTAGACATAAATGCTCTGAGACAGAAAGCTTTTTATTTTTCTAATGGCTCTTGGCTCTCAAGAGCGATGGCCTTTCCTTTTATTGATACTGGCCATGAAGGTTTCATGAGCCTTGTTTATAACCTGACAGATCAGACAGTGTTTGCTGCTACTCACTTTTATTATCACACTTAAGTTCCCTGTGGGGCTTCTTTATCAGGGTGGGGAAATGGTTATTTTTTATTTGTCTGTCAAGAAAAGCTGTACATGGTGTCAGCACTGGTGCAGGACATCAAATCGCGAGACATCCGACGTAGTAGAAGGGAAGCATTAAGAATGCTCACTCATACTTGCTTGCCTAAACAATGAGAACCTGCACTTCTATGACTGTACAAACCTAGTTTTTCTTCAAGTAATCCATCTGCACTGTCAAGTTACGCTGTCATAGCTCTTCAGTGAATATTTAGTGTGCTGTGCTGGCCTGAGTGGAATTCTCAGGCATGGAGATCCCATTACGCCTTCAGGGCTTGGTGGATGTCAAGGTTTTTTACGGACAGCTTCCTTCCCTAAACCCCCTGTTAAATTTTGTTTTTATCACCTCACCCAGGCTATTTTCATAGGAAACCGCAAAATTAGAATGGAGGTCTTGCCAGCTGTGCCAGAGGTTTGATCAGGCAGCCAGAATTTGTCTTGTTGCTGGCTTGAATGAACTGCTGCATTTTCTGACTGCTCATTTTCAATGTCTGGCTGCCTAGTTCTCCAGAGCCTGCAGCATGCCTCCCTCTGCTGCTTTTGGGAAGTTAAAGGATGCAGCAGGCAAGTGGCTGGCAGTTGAAGTATTTGGACCATTCCTGAAGAAAGAGACGTGATCCAGTGGCGTGGAAAGGTATGGGACTCTGCAGAGCAGCTCTGCTTCCTTCGCTTCTGAAGACAAAATACATCTGGGAGGTGAATTCTCTTGCTGAAGAAGAGAGCAGCAGTGAGGGGAGAAGAAAATAAATTTCTTTGGCACTATGCACTATTACCCAGCAGAGCTCCATGAGGTGTGATAGTATCCAGGCAAACAAGGCTGACACTCTAAAACATGAAGTACTTCTATAGATGCAGCTCAGTCCTTAGAAAAGCACATTGCTCTCGGTAGATGGAGGGGGGATTGGTGCTGGTTCTGCTAGACAGTGCTATGGAAGGCTGTGGTCATACTCTGTAGTGATCTGGGTTGTGGTGGAAAAAGACATTACTTTGCTTTTAATCTTTTTGTGACCTCCTGGAGTTCAGTTCTCAATCATTTTTCAGTATCAATTTCTAATCAGTTACTTGAGCTACACAGCTGCCCCCAGGCATTTTAGTCCTGGGCCAAAGCTCATCTTTAACTGGCTGGCTGTTGCACAGATACTAGGCCATAAACTTATTGTCCTACAGTAATCAGTTCCCAGGTGAAAAACGAAATGCATGCAAAATCTATTTTTATTTCCCGCAAGCAGGTTTCTTTTTTAAATTCACAGTAAACGCGGCGCACGAGAGCGCGGTATTATTTGTCAGCAGGTTTCACTGGAGCATCCACGACGTTCATTTGATCTTAACTCAAGCAATCTGATCAGGCTCCTTGGAAAGGATTCACCAAATGTCCTGGCTTAGTTTTGGAAAGTGCTGTAACATGAGTGCCCCTCATTCTGCTGGCACAAACATTCCTGTGACACTCGAAGACTCCTGCCTTGGTGTCACCCTGTGCTGCTGGAGAGGAGCAGGGGAGGTGCAGCCTTGGTGCCTGGCGTGCACTGACACAGCCTCCCCCTCCCAGGGCATCCCAGTGATCGTTCACTTTCAGACAGTCACAAGTGACTGTCTTTTGCAGGAAAATCGTGAGCTAAATAATCTTCTCTAGTGAAAGAGAAAGTGTCAGAGGCAAAGCTACGAGAGACTTATAGTAAATATTTAAGCTTTCCTTTTTTTTTGTGCAGCACCAAAAGATGGCTGATCCTGCAGTATTTATTTCAGGCCTACTATAAATAAAGGATGTGGTGACAGCAAACTGCAAGCAAGGGGAATTCAGTGGTTATTGTAAACTGCTTTCTTTTATCTGAAGCTGTGAATAGTAACCAATTCTGTGCATGTTTTAGGTCTGCTGATGGGCACATTTTAAATCAGAACCAGATTTAGGCTATGTTTATGCTCAGAAGAATTAGAAGAGGGTATCTATCCCAGTTGAAGAGCAAATTAAATCTATATAAACAGTATTGATGAAAGCACGGTCTGAAATACTGGTACTCAGACTATACTGTAGAAACATTTCGTAAAAGCATTGTAGGAGATGATCAGTAAAAACAAATAGAAAATGAAAACACGTATTTGGAATATTTTCCCTTCTTTAAATGATTCTATTACATTCATCAGACTAAGAATGTTTTCATTCAGGGACTGCTTACATACTAGAGGTAGAATCTGAGCCCATATCAATGTGACTTTTTTTTTTTTTTTTTTTTTTTTTTTTTTTGAAAGGAACACTAATGCTATGCTAGTGATAACTTGCTAGTGTATGTGTTCAGCATTGTGAATATATCTCCTGAAATCCATTCCTGGAATGACTTTTAAGTTTTTCCCTGGCTGTTCCTGCCTTTGACTGCAGCCTTAAAGCCATGGAAGCTGAATGCCCAGTACCAAATGCCTGCTCCTTGGATGAGGCAGCAGCAGCACCTTTACACCCAGGAGTCCCACCTGGGACTCGAGAGCTAGCATAGTAGCACTTAAAAGTTTGGGAGACAAGGTCCACAACAGATTCCAGTAAGGATCTCTGAATTACTGGATGTGGAAGCAAATGGTTGTGGCCATGTCAGATTGGATTAAGGAGATGAATACCTGCTTCCTGTCAGAAAGCAGTATTTAATAACCTGGCCTTAAGTGTTGACAAAGATGTGCCATTTGCATTTGATAACTTTTCACTAGAAATGATGGACTCATCATATTTTCAACTACAAATATGCTCATACTGTCATGGAAATGTAGCCTGAGGTTAGATGACACCTAAAAAAAATAATAATCAAATAGTATAAAAAGAAAATTAAAAATGAAGCTCTGTCCTTTAATCTGTTCCGTTGAGTTCTACACCAATTATATTTAAATATTCCAATACGATTCTCAGTGGGATTTAAAGGTTAAAATAAGGAAATGCTGGCTAAATATCAGAAAGAAATAAATTCAAAGCTGGTGCAATGCTAGATATTCCATGTGGCGTTCACTAGAATAATTATGACCTAGGCTGGACCAGTACTGAGCTCTGTGACCATGTGAACACTCAGTGTTGGAGCCCTCCAGGATTCACTCGGGGAGCACCTTAGTCTGTAGGTAACTGCGTGCACCCGTACTCAGGAGAGGTATTGCAAAGCCTCCCGTGGAAAGATAAGGAAAGCAGAGTAGTCAAACAGCTGCTTACATGCTTTGCTGAATCACAGTGTTTATAAATTCAAAATTTTAAGCAGATCAGCAGGAGGAGAGGAACACTAATGGTTGCATGTGACATGTGATACTAGTGAGTTAATTTTTTAGACATGTGACTCTAAACCTTTTGAGAACCATCTGCCTCCGGTAGCCAAGGTTTCCTCCCCAAATTTCTGATGATGCCGTGTGCTCAAAGCATTAAAAAAGGCACGACTTACTAGTGGATTAAGGAAGCTACCAGGTATTACTGTGAGCTGAGAGGTGGGCCTCCCTCACGCCTTGCAAAATAGAGGTGAATCCCACTGGATGCCCAGTTGTGTACCTGAGCAGGTACAGCAGGA